TTCAATTACAGGCTCCTTATTAGGTTACAGAAGCTAAAATCTTTTAATTTTGCCTCCAGCCAGACTTGAACCATTGACCTTGACTGTGGAGGGTATAGGAGCTTAACCGCTAAGCTATGGGACCTACACCCTATTTATTTTTATTTAATTAGAGTTATTTATTTAAAATGATTTATAAGTTTGGGTTCTATAGCTTAATTGTTAAGTTTCTACATATTTATAATTAAGGCTAATAGTTCAATTTTGGCTAAAAGCAAAATCTAAAAAAAAATTAGATTCTGTAATCTAAAAGAGAACATATAACCAAATATAAAACTCTGTAACCAAAAACCAAGTATATTATATGACTAAAAATATAAATTATTAAAAAAAGATTAATATTGCAAAATATAAAGATTATATATAATAACAGTATTATAGAAGGTTTTATTACATAAAGGATTGAATAAAAAATAAGTTATTTAAAAACTAACTTTGTAAAGCAAAGTTTTATAATATAACAACAGTTATAGAAAGTTTTGTTACATAAAGTATTACACAAATAAGTTTTCTGAAAATAGGTATATCTATTTTGGTTTGGGTTATATGTTAATTAAAACTAAAAAGTGATTATATAAGTTAGTAAAAAAATGAAAAAATAAGTTTTTAATATTATATTCTGTATTTTTAAGTAGTATTATACAGTTTTCAATTGTACAAGTATAAATATAGTATAGAGCTGCTTTATAATATAATTTAAAATACTCTTGTAAAAAATTAATAAAGATAATTTTAAATTTAAAAGATAAAAGAGCTTTGTATATATTGGATAATTTGGTAACAATTTGGTATTTAATATAGTTAAATGTTTTTTTGATTAATATTATAAAATTGTTATTTATAAATTTTAAAAAATTTTCAAACTAGGCTTTGAACTCTAATAAATAATTTTTTAAGAATAGAATTTGAAAGGTTTGAAAAAATTATTTTTTGAGAATATTAAAATAAATAATAATATTAAATTTATTATAATTTTAAAATTTAAAAAGTAGTTAGTTACTAATTGCTATTATTCCTCATTTTCAACATGTTTATATATATGTTTTATGTAATATCAAAAATCTTTTTTGTGTTCTTTCTCAAGAAAACAAACATTCACCAGATTATACTACAGCAATTCTTTTTAGAACTTGACTTATTCATTATAGTTGCACTTACAGAATTATTGATATCAAATAATATTATCTTCCTCAAACTAAACTTTTAACTCAAGAACAAAAGAAAAAAGCTTATATATCCAAATTTATTTTACTTAATAAAACTGAAAAATTAGAACTTTTTAAAGAAATTTTATCTAAATTTTCTAAAAAAGAATACCAAATTTCAACAAATAAATGTAATATTTCTCAAGATCTTGATTGGTTTAAATTATTTCTGGTCATAAAAGAAATGGAACCTAACTTAAAACTTAATACTTCACTTTCTTAACAATTATTTAAGTTTCTTAAATCTAACTTAATTCAATTCACACTTAGAAAAACTATTTCTTCTAAAAATCCAGATATTAAATCTACTTTTAAATACTTTTTTAACTACTTATTAAAAAACATGGCAAAGCAAAAACCCAAATTCTTGGTGAACTTAGTTCATAAAACTAATCTATTAATTAATATTCAAATTTCAATTTCTACAAGAATTTTAATTAATATTTTAAAACTTATTCTTTCTAAATTTCTTACTATATTCTTTACAAAACTCAACTATAAAAAAATTCTTTAATCTCATTATACTATTTCACTATATATATTTCAAAATTGACTTCAAGTTGCTATCAATCTTATACGTTTATACTTTTTTCTTAACTCTATTTATAAAATTATTCATGCAAAAAAATTTGCAAAAGATCTAAATCTTCAACTACTTCATCTTACCTTATATTATAACATTAGTTATAATTTAATCAACAAAGCTTTCTTTCAAATACAAAATAATGAAAAGCTAAATGTCAATATTTTTTTTAATATTAATATTAAAAAATTTAAAAACTCTTTTTAAATACCTTTTCTCAAACCATATAGAGCAATTCTTGAAAATTGGTTTGATAAATTCTTTGAAATTTATAAATATCACTCTCCAAACATTATCAAAATCAAAGTTTTTAACTTTCTTAAATATCAAACTGCAACTAAATATACTAAAGTGCATAAAAAACTACTACCTCAATCCTTTATCATTGAATCTATTACATCTCTTCAAGAGCACACTCTATTAGTTAAAAAACTTGCTCTTTTTTATGTTTATACTTGCAAAAACTCTGATGAACACAAATTCACAATTCTTCTATCTGATACTGAATATAATTTTCAAAATCTCTTTATATATTACTTTGATCAATTTATCAAAAAATTTTTTACATCTGTTTCTAACAAATTAAATCCATTTACCAAATTTAATCAACCAATATAGATTTATCCTACTTTAGATTTCTTAATCTTTTATAAAGATAATGAACATTTAGCTTTATTCAAAGTTCCAATTCCAATTAAATTTTTTCGACAACTTGTTAATTTTGCTGAAAAACAATTCATGAAAATCAATAAAACCAATCATAATATTAATTATCAAACCTATTACTTCTATGAATACTTTAAAGCTTTCTTTTAAGCAGCAGCTCAAAATGATGAAATCTTTAATTTAAGCTATAACTGAGCTATTAAAAAAGCTACAAACCAAATTACAAATATTCATTTTTTAGTCAGAATTATTATCTACTTTAAAATACTTAAACAAAGTAATACAAATCTTTCTATCTCTTTTATTTGAAAAATATACAATAAAAACTATTACCTTCTAGCTAAATCTTTTATTATTAAGGAATTTAAATATATTATTCCAAAAAAAAAATCAATGACCTTGACCTCTTTAAACCAACCTTTTTTTCAATAAACCTTTTTGCAAATAACATTAAAGCAGCTGCCATTTTTGAAATTATAATGTATTCTACAAACAGTAGGCTATTTTTAAAGGAGAATGATATAAGTAAGCAGACAGTAAAGCCTATTTATATAAAAGACTGAGATTATAATAGTCAGATCTAATGTACAGGAAAGACTACAGTATTTTTTATAGCTGTGCAAGCTGAGCTTAAAATGGTGAGCAATCTTGCAGAAACCCATTACCCATTCATAAATTCTAACTTCTCCCCTAACTTTAAGGATTCTTCTTGTTACAATATCTTTTTAATTTACAATAATCTTCTGACTTTATCATTTAATCAAACACTTCTAAATTTTCTTCAACATCTAAAAAATAATCTATTTAATAAACTATTTAAAATCTTTATCAATACTACACTTACTAAAACACATGTTTATAAAAACTTAAACAACAGTATAATACCAAATCACATACTTCTCTCTAAATCACTTTACTATTAATACTATAATTTGCTTATTAAATTATATTAACAATTTTCAGTTTCTAATTTATTAACAGATTCTAATTTCTTTAATACTAACAATTTCAATATCACAAATCTCATCTCTTCTATATCACATTTATTTGATACTGTTCTAACTAACTATATTCTCTCTCTTTAAACATCTCTCATACTTATAATTTCAATTCTTATAAAAATCAGTTTTCTAAATACTAATAGTTTACTTCAATATTCAAAAAAGAGCTCATTTATTGATATTATTAACTAACATAACTTTGATATCTTTGAACTATCAGAAACTCATCTTAGTTCTAAAGAAGAAAAATTCTTTAATCAAAATCTTTAAAATCATAACAGTTTCTGGAGCTCTTATGAAAATCCTTACCAAGCTGATATTAGAATTTTTATATATAAAAGAATATCTAAATATATTGCTAGAACACACAATTATAATAGTCATATAATTGGTCTAGATCTACATTTTAAACACAACTCTATCTGCATTCTTCAAATATACTTTCTACTTCAGAGAAAAAATAATTATGTGCCAAAATTCAAGAACAAATTATTCTACTCTGTAACAATTCTAACTATCAACTTATAATATTTGGCAATTTCAACAGTATTTCAAATCCTTACTACAATAAAAATTCTTCAAAAAACACTTTTATTTCAGAATTCCAAATTCTCAAATACTTAATCAGTCATTAATTTAAAAATATATACTGATTTTTCTTCCTCACAATATTAACTTTACATTTTCTTGCTTAATCTCTAATAGCAGAATTGACCAAATATGAACAAACTTAAACATATCTCAAATTAAATATACTGATATTCTTGAGAATATTTTATCTGAATCAGATTATAAAATTATTATTCTAGAAATTTCTATAACTATTAACAAAACAAAACCCTTTAAACAACATAAAAGAAAAAACTTTCTTTGGAAATTATACTTATAGAAAAATATTGAAAACTACTTAAATTAAATATCACAAAGTCTTTACCAATTACAAAACCAAATACCCAACATCTTAAATCAAAATGAACTCAATACAACCTGGAATAAAATACTTAAAGCACTTACTAAAACTGCTTTAAAAAACATTTCTTATAAAAACATTAAAACTATTCAGGAAATTAAAGATGACAAACCTTCCAAATGATATATACTCTTTTACAGATATAAACAAATACAATATTTAAAAATCCATCTACAATCATCCAACTTTTACAATTTTCTTATTGAATACAAAACCAAATATACTGAAAATCTTATTAATGAACCACAAACCTCTAACAACTTATACTCTTTAATCAAACAAGAATTTAATCAAATTAAATTAGCACTCAATACCTTTTATTAATAACAAATCCAAAAAGAAATTCAACAAAAAATCAAAAATTACAACCAACTTTTTCAATCACAATCTAAAGAATTCTTCAAAAATATTCTTGAAAAATATAATAGTATATATATTAACAGACTTCTAACAAATAATTCTTTATTAACAGAAAAAGATCATATTAAACAAGCTATTCATATTTACTAAATATTTTAATGAAAAACCTCTTTAACAAATTCAACTCACATCTGATTATTACCAACTATACCAACCTCATCTTGAATTTGAAATATATTACCAAAACTTATTTAACACAATATCTCTGATAATAAATAGCAAAGTACTATTCAGAATCTTCTTTTTCAAAAAGCCACAGGTTCTCTCAAAACAAACTATGAACATATTAAATATGTAGGCCCTACTGGCCAAATTTTTTTCAAATTATTTATTAACAAATGTCTTTAACTTCAAAAAATTCCATCTGATTGAAAAACATCTAATATTTTTCTTATTATAAAAAAATCTTCATGGAACTTTACACTTAATCAAGTTCACTCAATCTCAATTATAGAACCAATAAAAAAATGCTTTACTAAAATCTTTATACAAAAACTAGATTATATTATTAACTCTAATAAACTCCTTTCTAATCTTAACTTTGCTACTACCAAAAACTCTTTAATACATATCTTTATCCAAATTCTTAATAATATTATTGAATACTATAAACATTTCAACAAAGAAACTTGAATAATGTTTCAAAACATGTTCAAAGCCTTTGATAAAATCAATATATCTCAATTACAGGACACTTGCAAAAGAATTAGTATTTTTTTAAAAAGAATTCAACTTATTACTAAACTATATACAGACTAACAAGCAAGAATAATTACTGCACATGGTCTTACATTACCTGTTCATATCAAATCAGATATTGAACAAGGTAAAATATACTCTTCTCTTCTTTGAAAAATTTATTATAATCCAATTCTAACTTATATTCATAATAAATATAATAATCATTTACTTAAAATTACTATCTTTTCATCACTTGAGATTATTTCCAATATATCACTTTTTTCAATAACAATACCTTCTATAGCTTTCATAGATGACACTGTTTAGTATAGTAAAAACTCTAAAACTCTTTAATATATTCTGTATGATACACAACAACTATACAATCTTAATAATATCGAAATTAATCTAACTAAATCTGATCTTTTATATATTTCTCAAAACAAAAACAAACTAAATATCTTTATAACAATTCTTTATTAAAATAACCAAATAATATCTTTATGTAAACATATGAAATCATATGTTACCCTTGGTATCTATTTTGATGAAAATAGTTTTATTAAACCAACTTTTGAAATGCTTTAAAACAAAATTGAAAACTTTCTCTCTTTAATTAAATATAAAAAAACTTACACCCAAACAAATTTCTATACTCTTTAATATAATACTACAACTATCTTTAGAATATTTTCTACAAATCTTATCTATATCCAAAACACAACAACAAAAACTCTCATAACTACTTTCATTTACAACAAAAAAAATACTTCATTTAGCAAAAAATATATCTAATATTCTTCTTACAAACTCATTATCTCTTAAACTTCCAATGTTTTAACACTTAATTCAAAAAGTTATAATATCAACAATTGAACATATCTTCTATTTTACTTTACTTCTTAAATATATTAGTGAAGCTATAATTAAAAACTGGCTTACTAAAATATGGCAACTACATTTTTTACTAAATATATTTTCTAAATTCTTACTAAAAACTAAAAAATTTTCTTTTATTTTTTAACTTTTATTTTTATATAACTCTAATATTTATTTTTTACTTAATAACTTATCAAATTTATCACCAACTAATATCCTTATAACTACAAAACAATATATGACATTCTTCCATTTAATATTTCTTACTCTTTAATAAATAGTCTCTATAATAATAAAATACTTTTCATTGAACAAATTACAACTGCTAACAACTTATATCTTTTATCTTAGAATAATATATATATATGAACTAAGAAATTCATACATAAACCTACTTCTTTCTAATTTACCAAACTTCGTAATCTTATTTAAAATAATACTATTTACCAAATATGGCTACATCTTAACCTATCTAATATTAATAGCTTTATTAATTCTTTCGATACAATTACATTCTTTCACCTATTACCATTAAATCAATAGTCTATTTTTCTTAACAATTTCTAAATTCTTTTTATAAAAAATTCATCTAATTTCTTTTCAATTAACAACACTATTTACGGCTCAATATCTCTGACTCTACTAATCCATCTATATCATTACCTTAAACTTTCATTAATATTTCAAATATTAAGTCATCAAAAAAAGATAATATTTATTTTCTTTACATTGATAATTATAAAATTTATACACTTATCAATATACTACAACAAACTTATCCACCATTTATACCAACTCAAACTTCAATTATATACATTCCTGAAATGGAAATACAAATAATACAAAAATATATATTATTTTCCAACTACCAAAACCAACTCATCGAATTATTTTTATTAGCAAAAAATATTCTAAATAATACTCATTTCTATACAGATATCTTAATTATTAATACTCAAACATCACATCCTAAAATTGGAATTGAATAGATTTCTGAACACAATATCCAAATCAAATTTAACTGTTCTATTTCTTCATATTCTAACTCTACCTGAACAGAACTTGAAGCAATAATATATCTTCTCTTTATTTTACCAATAAATTCACAAAATAATATACATCTAAACAATCTTTCTGTACTTAAAAATATTCAACTATTTTCATCATTATATAAATTCTCTTATATAAAAAACTAAGATATCTTATTTATTATTCACTATCTTATTAAAACAAAGTCTCTTAATATTTTTTTTCATAAAATTAAATCTTATTCTAATAATTCTTTTTACAATCAAGCTGATATTCTAGCCAAACAAGGTACTAATAAATACCAAATTACATCCAACTTTAAAACAATACATCCTCTCTACTTTGTATAATATAATTATATAATCTCTACTAAAACTCACTTCTTTCTTCAAAATACTACAACTATTCAATTACTTCTTACTTGGTTACAACTTAAATATTTTCAAAATCCACTTTCTATTAAATAGTCTACCAATCTTAATATTATTAATTCACTAAAAATAATCAATAACAACTTACCAACTATGCAAAATCTTAATATATGTTATTTCTTATTATATACTACTCTAAATTGTATTCATTGTTAATTAACCAAAGATATATCTTATCCATTAATCTGCTCTAAACAAAAATTCAATCTTCACCAAATTCTTTATAGCTTAATTACAAATACTATCTAACAATTAAATATCTCTGCTAAAATTACAAATACTATTCATACTACATTATTCTACTACCTTAATACATCATTATATCTTTACTTTTCAAATCTTATTCAAGGCCTCTATTCTATATCTCTATATGACAATATTAAAATATTTCTTCACAAAACAACATTACCCTTTTTTACAATCTTATTCAATACTTCTCTTAATTGGTTTTATCAACAAATATGACTACTATATAACATTCTTTAACAACAATAGGAAAAAGCTTGCAATATAACTAACAAATCCAAATGTTCAAAAATCTACTCTTTAATTTCCACTCTTTAATCAATATCTAATATCTCAAATACATCTACTATTGGCCCTACTATGTTTATTAAAAACTGGCTATTCTTAGACTATTCACTTACTAACTGTATTTACTAAATAACAAAACTATTACTTTAGGTTTTCTCCAACTTTTTTATATTTAAAATTAATTTGAAATAATTAATAATAGTATTATATAGAAATGGAGATATAATGTCACATTGGATGTCTTAAAATAAGTAGCACAAATGTAGTTTAGAAATCTTTAATGTAATTCTTATATTACTTAATAAAGTTTCTACTTTGGTATTTCAAAAAAAAAGTAGTTGGTTAATGTTGTCTTTATTAAAATAATAGTGTAATTTAAAATAAATAGGATAGAATTTAAAATATTTATAGAATTTTTCTACATAAATAATTTTGTATTTATTATAAAAAATAAGATGTAAGTAATCTAAATTAAGAGTTACTTATTTTTAGTTAATAGTAGTTATAAAAAAATAACATTGTTAGAGACAAAAATTTTTGAATAATTTAGTTAAATAAATAGAATTATAGTAAATTCTTAACAAAAAAAAATAGAGTGTGATGATCTAGTAAAGTGATCAGATTGTCAACCTTTCAAGTAGTAAATTAGATGTTCAAATCCTATTGATAGTGAAAATTTGAATAATTACTTATGTAATATTTATATTATAGCAACTGTTACTAATGATTAGATTAGAATACCTATAATAGTGATCATACCAGTATGACTAGCAAGTTATAAAGCATCTGTGCAATGTTAAAGTTATATAGAGAAATGCAAACCAACAAATCAAATAGTGCAAATACTAGATAAGTCCTTGTGGCCATATAAATTTATTGAAATTAGATAATAAAAAGTCTGTTTAAAAAGACTTAAGTAGAAAGGTAGCTGGATCTTCAATGATCCTATTGTAAAGGCTAGCCTAGAAAAATAGATACCAAGGTTGTAATACCTAGTTATAGTAACTAGATGGACAAGAACCTATGGGTTGGAAGTCTCAAATATACTACCAACCAGGCTGTCAAAATGAATTAAAGAAAAAGAATATCAGGCTAACCTAATATACTAATAAACTGGTCATAGTCCTATACAGGTTATTTGAATTGGAAGTTTGATAAAAAGATAGATAAAAAGGCAGAGATATACTAAAATACTGGAGTTATGCTGTAAAGTAGATACTAGAGTCTAAGTAAACTCTACAAAGGCATAGCAGTTTAATAGTTAAGCCTTGACCACAAGTGTTAGTTCTGATATAACAATATTTAGATTAACTGTAAAAATAGGTACAGAAGGCTCTGAGAAGTTTATCTCAAAAATAAAATAGTCCTAAGATTAAGATGATAATCTGAATATCAAATATAATCTAGTGAAGTTAGCAGATTTGCAGATTTAGAAAGTTAAAGTAGAATACTCAAGCAGGAGTGTTAGGTATGGCAATTAGTAAAAAACCTTCAGGCAAACTCCTTAAATAGATAATATAGAAAAGTTACATATATAGCCAATTGTATACTCTTCCTGTAGTAGTTTACTAAACCATATTTACTATTATTAAATAAAGTCAAAAAACCCAAGAGGTCACCTTAATACCAAAAAAAATATAAAAAAAAAAAATAATAATAGAATGAATTAGTTTAAATAAGATAAAGATTAATTTATTAATTTAATAATTTATTTTATAAATAAAATTAATTAAAAATTTGAGCCTTTTGCCTATTAGAGTTTTGAATAAGTATTTGTAATTAAGTTATAATTTAGGAGTTTTATCAAATACTAATTAAATAATTTTTTCTAGATAGATATTAATAATATATAGTTTAATAAAAATGAATAATTGTTAAGTGATTGAATTATTAAACTTAATATCATTTTTTATAGAATTAGTTACTAGATATTTTTTAAACTAATCAAAAACATTGATAATATTTCTTTAAATTTCTTTTTTTTTTGTTTTTGTTATTTGAAATACTTTTGTAAATTTGTTTTTTGTTTTTTTTTAAAAGAAAGAATTTAAAAAATTAGATTTTTTTATTAAATTTTATTTATTAAATTTTAATGAGAACAAGAATTAGTTGTTGTTTAAAAGTAAAAGAAGGAATAATTTGTTTTTTAAAAAGAAAAGAATAGATCTAATTATTTAAACTAATTAGTATAGATTTAATTAAAGTTGTGATAATTTATTGTTAGAATTTAAAAAAAGAAGTTTATATCAAAGATTTAAGTTTAATATCCAATAAACTAGAAATATAAAGTTTGTAAATTAGATTTTGATTAAATATTATACAAATTGTATAGTTAGAAACATGACTATATTATTTTATAAATATATAAAGAATATTTTTGAGTTTACATATAAGATATATGTGATAATATTAAAAATATACAATTATTGCAAAATATATAGAATTAATTTAGAATCTAAGAAATAGTATATAGGATTTGAAAAAAAATAAGTTAGATTATTGTTATTTAAAAATAAATAATTGAATTAATTAATTTATAAGAAATTTTTTTAAAATATTAGATAGAAATAGTAGAAGTAGTTTAAGTTATAGATTGTTTAAAAGATATTAAGTAAAAAATTCTATAAAACTATAAAATAAAGTTAGTATAATATACTCTATAGAGACATATATAATAGTGTGTTATTAAATAACTTTGAAGTAATAATATTTTTTAGAGATTACATTATAATTAGTTAAATTAATATTTGCAAAAAATATATATAAAGATTAAGATTTTCTTTTAACTATTTCTATATTATAATGATCTTTATATCTGATATGATAATAGTCAATATCATAGAAATCAGGATCTTTAGAAGCTAAACTAAATATAATTTAAAATTTAGAAAATAGAAATAGAATAGATGACAGAGATTTTGAATATAAGAGGATTTAAAAAATATAAGATGTAATAATTAAAAGAATATAACAAATAATAGAGTATAATAGATAAGAGTATAATAAGTAAGAAGACATAACAAATAAGAAGATATAACAAATAAGTAACATAAGATATACAGAATAAGTAATTATAATAATTGATATTAAACAGAATTTTGTATTAATTAATAAAACCAAAAATATAAAAAGTTAAAATTTGTATTAAATAAGTTGAAATAAAGAGTAAATTTGTATAAATTAATTAATAATATGAATTGTTGATAAAGATCTACAGGTACTGGGTATTCTAAGAAACAAGACTACCTTAAAAAAAGATTAAAAAAATTTTAGTAAAAAAGAACAGAAGTTTTGTAAAAGAGTTTTAAAGATTTTTGATATAAAACCTTTAATATTAATCCAATATTGATATATAATATATCAAAATGAAACTTCAAATAAATTCTGTTATTTTGTTTTAGACAGCAACTGAGATTAATTTAATAAAATATTAAAATATTTTAAAAAAAAATATCTTGCAATTTAAGAGATATATCTTACTGTAAAATGGTCTAAAAGATATAAAACTAAACTACTTATATATAAAATTTTGGTGTAAACAATTTTACTTAGAAAGTCAGAGAAGGTTTACTTAATAAATTATTTAATTATTGTTGGTTTATTATCAGAGAGTTTTGGTACAAATAATTGTCAGAAAGAGTTAATAATTTGCATCCTATTGTAAATTTTGTTATATTAAAACTTATATTTTTTTATAAAAATATTTTTTATTTTGTATAGTCTTTAAAAAATAACAGCATAACTATTAAGCTTTTTTAAAAATATATTTATTTAATTTCATATTAAATTTACAAATTTTATATGTTTCACATATAAAGTTTGAATTGTAAACTTCGTAATTTAAAAAAAATCAATCTCAATTTGTTCGACTTGATGCAACGCATATATTATAGAATATAAATATTGGTTTTACTAATCATATTAAAAACATTTTTTAAATAAAAAAATATTGACTTTTATATAAATTTCGATTTTTTATATTTTTTTTATTGTAAAAAAAACTATCAGGAGTTACTTTTGTTGGCTACTGTACGTTGAGTATTATTAATAACTAATATATGTGTGAACTTTTGGGACTCAGGTCCCAAGTCTGCTGCTTGGGACCGAGTTCAAATTAAGACTCAACTTCTGGAGTCGAGTCGGAATCAGGGCTAAAACAACATATAATAAATGCCGGTCATCCAAAATATCATTTTTAATTTAATATATCAACAAAACAATAGCGATAGCATTAAATAGCTAATATAAATTTCTTAATTTACTACTGTTCTTTGATCGCAATTATGCATCAAGAACGCACTTTGAATGATTAGCATTTACTATATGTCTTGTCTGGCCTTTTTTCATATCCTTAACTACATAATGCCCACACGCCAAGCCTTCCTGAATATGTGGCTTCAAGCATTTGATACAAACAACAAATAAATTGATAAAGGGTGATACATTGTTCTTTTTATAGCGCTGAAATTTGCTTTTTAAGTAATAAAAGTAGCACATATTGGAGTCACAATGGGTATTGGGATTTTCTTTTCCGTCAATAATGGTAAAAATATAAAGCGCATATGCAAAAAATTTTTTATCAAAAGCACCAATACAAAACATTATTCTATTAAAGTCACAGGATTTGTTTACTTGTTCTTAAAGGTGGTTGGATCGTATACAGAATGATGGAGAACTTTGTCCGATATACATATGGTGTAATGCACGCGTAACTTTATGAAAGATACGTGATGTGACAATGTAACTTCGATATTATCGTATATATAGAAGTTCTGAAGTGTAAACCATGATAACGGAATTAATCATTTAACTCTTTCTTTTTTAAAAGAAAGAGAACGACGATTCATATATCCCACCGTTTTTGTTATTTTCTTTGATATAAAGAAAATTTTAACTATAAATTAAAATTATTAGTTGTATTTTACCTTGTAAAAGTTGGTTCATAAAAGTTTTTAAAATCATCAACTGCTTAAAGTAAAAATGCAACAACAAACATACAACGGATTACCACCAGAATATACCGAGAATCGCGCAGGACGCAAATTTGGTGGTTGGGAAAATGATAGTCATATGTATAATGGATATAATTTTAATTTTGGTAATTTGAAGGTTAACGAAAGTAATCTCAAGGTTCAAATGGGTAAGTTTCGCACCTTTTAAAAAGAATTGTGTAAAAGAATTACGAACGAATTAACATTTCTTTATATAATATGTAATTGGAAATTAATCAATCAACATTTTCTTTAATACATAGCATTCGTGCGCAAGGTTTTTTCGATTTTATTCGCACAAATCTCCATGTCAGCCGTTGTGGCTGGATTGATGATGCATAATAACATTATTAAATCTTGGGTTCAATCACAGTATGAAATTTCTATAAAGTAAAAAAAAAAAAAATTATGGTTTAAGGATGTAAAATCTGATAATATTTTATTTTTAGTGGCTGGATCATTTTTGTCGTTTCTATCTTGACATTTGTTCTTTTACTCGCCCTTCAAGTAAACCATCGTTCTTATCCTACAAATTTTGTTCTGCTTGCTGCTTTTACGCTTGCAGAAAGTTATACAGTCGGTACTGTTGGTTAGTATCAGAATCAAGCATTGAATAATTGATTACTTTGATAAATTTAATAATCTAATTTACCTTTATTTTAAAGTGACCTATTATGATTATAATGCTGTGCTACGAACCTTAATTGTCACATCTGGCCTTTTTATTGGTATTGTATTATATACCATACAATCTGAATATGATTTCAGTGGAATGTTTTCCCTGTAAGTTTCATTAATCATTTTATTTCTTTTATTTAATTAACAAGTTCTAATATATCTGTTTAAATCAGACTCTATAACAGTCTTTTGCTTATTTTGGGAATAAGCATTGCTGGAATCTTTATTCCATTTAGTGGTATCTTTGATTTTATTTTTACTATAATTTGCATTATTGTATTTTGTGGTTTTGTTGCTTTCGACACTTTCTCTGTCATGACAACAAAGCATCCTGAAGAATATATTCTTGCTGCCGTTGAACTTTATTTGGATTTTATTAACCTATTTCTCAGAATTCTCAAGATTTTGAATAATAATTCCCGTAGAGATTAAAAAATGTATCTCGAAATTTTTAGAATATTGTTTATTTGCCCACTCTATATACTTTGTTATTCGTATTTATTTATTATAATGTATTCAATATTATTTTATTATCATTATTAATATTGTAAAATCATGATCTGAACTAGCCTTTGAAAGATCTGACCATGGTTAAATAATAAATTATTATGTATACGCATAAATGCACAATGATCGTTTTATAATGTTCTTTTATACCTGATTATCTTCATATTTTTTATAAATTTATAGCATACAATGCCTGACTAGACACAATTGTATGTATTAAACTCGAAATATTTTATTCAAAGAAACGTTAATATAGAGATGAAACTGTAAAATTATCACGCATACCTAAGTATAATTCAGGTCTTGGACAGTCATATTTTTTTATTTATTCTTTTTCCTTTTTTATTTCTTCATGGGAGATTATTTATGTATGGAGAAATAAAAGCCGCCGCTTAAATATTTCTATAAACAATAAATACATCCAATCGTATTAATAGAGTAGAAAATTAGTAACTTTGGATTTCGCATACCGTATGTTACCGAATAGAAGCAACCAATATGTTGCAAAAAAATGAGAATTTTTTCGAGCCAAAGTGAAGGAGTTGCTTTTAATCGGTAATATACGGGGGATTTTTTTTTTTGATAAAAAAATTTCAATTTTTTTTGAATGCACTTTATACTCTACTTGGTGGTCATGCTAGGGTCGTTCTATAGGTATCATAGTAGCTCCTTTGATAGATGTATTCAAACTTGAAGTGATTTGGGCTAGAGGTTGGAACCGGTTTTAATAATTCGGGTTTATCACGTGAATTTTATGATATTTTAGAAATTTATCCAATTAAATTAATTAAATTTTAATAAATTCGAAAATATCACAAAATTCATGTGATAACCCCGAATTATTAAAACCGGTTCCAACCTCTAATTTGGACAGTTAAAATAGCAGGAAATTTCATGTTCTTGTTGGGCAAAAATCAATTCTTTTTTATATTCTCCAATTAGTCGTTAAAAAAAAACGTTTATTTTTTGATCCCTTAATTTCTTTACTTACCGACAAGACGATCCCTTAAGTTGGTGAATCTCGTTTTTCTTGTACATAAACTGGTCTTAAATTCTTTATCAGACTGTAATACATGGGTTACTTGAGCATTGACCTCTACGTGATGTGATCTGGATAACCTACTAGTGAATACTTATTTTAAGATATATGTATTTTTTTAATCATTTGTAATAAATATATACAATCTAATATATTTGATTTATTGTATTGCACTGTAGTTTATCGTGTATTCTTTATATCACTGTTACATAATGTAAAATAAATAAAAAAATTATTTTCTAGCACTAATAATAATATAGATAATATTTCGATTAGAATTCTGCTGTCTGAATCTATTCTTAAAGGTCGTTTCCAGTAATAAAAGTAAACCTGTAAAGCTGATAATGACTATTTGTAACTGCCCTGAATTTAAGTTATTATTTTGTTGAATATAAGTTTTATTAAAAAATTAATTCTGTAAAAATAATATAGTAAACCCAAGACAATTAAATTAAGATTGATGTTAATACTAGAGTTATAGCAAACAAAGTTCAACGGCAGCAAGAATATATTCTTCAGGATGCTTTGTTGTCATGACAGAGAAAGTGTCGAAAGCAACA